TAAGGGGTGAATAAGGGGGCAGACTTATTACAGGGGATTCCTTCGAAGCTGACTAACACTTAAAGCAATCTGAAGAAGCCCCTGGTATAGGCGTGTTAAAATAATATTACCATGGTTTTATGTACAGTGTTTCGGTATCGTGTGATCGTGTTGTATCTGTTCGGAGCTACTCGGTATATACAGGGTGTCAGGCTTAACATAGTATCGTCGAGTATAGGATAGTTTTAACTGCAAAAATAACTCGAAAATGTACAAGATTCGTTCATTTAAGACCTTTCCGGAAGAATCAAGATCCAGAAAATATTTTAGTATACATTTCCTATTTATCTTTGTATGAAACGATAAACTATCGATTATATCATTTGTTTTTAATTAGGACTAAACAAGGTTCTAAATAAAGAAACTTTCTTTGATATTCGATTTACTCTCGCGTATAAGACCACCTCTTCATTCTGCAATACTACATTATCTAGGTCACCCTGTATACACATGCATTCCTCTACGACAGAGGAAACAGGAAAAAATATGTTCGAGTGGACTAAGTAATCTCGTCTCAACGAGGCACGTTTCGTCCGAACTCTGAACAAATCCTTGAATACCAATAAACAGATCTTAATCGCATCCGGTTATACATAGAACAAGTTATCCACTGTCTCGTGGACTCCTCCGGAGATTAAAACCGTCTGGCAGACCCTTCCCTCGCATTCACGAGAAACTCTCCCGTCTAACCAACTGCTATCAGTAAAATGTCCCTAAAAACACCCCTTGTCTAACCTGAAAAATCTTTTCAATTCCCCCTAGATAGATCTATCCTGCTAGTATCACTGATACCGCAAACTGAATCATCCATACATTTCTTCCCCACCTTTTCAAGCGCTGCAAAAGATCGTGAATGCTCAGGAAACTCGCCAATACAGAAAAGAATGCCGTAGGGTGGAAAATGCCCCTAGGCCGGTCCTCCCAATTTAAGGCGTTTGTACAGCACAGATGGACATCACAAAAAGTAAGTAGAGAAGTATCCAGCGCTCTTCGTGGACTCTCCCGAGTCATTATACAGCACATTGACACAAAGATAGTTCCCAGTCATTGGTCGGCTCCACTGACAACATCAGGAAGATGTCCTGGACATCCCACGAAATGAGAAGACAGTTTGTACAGCGGAAGCAGGCATTGGCTAACTCTTTCAACTACCTTGGTCTTCACAGTCCACTTCGTCTCTTCCGTCGCTGCACTGTGGGATCCCGTCGCAGGAGTACAGGTTACTGACACACCTCCCATCACAGATGAATTCGTATACTTCACATTTCGGCTGGTTGCTGACCATGAAAGTGTAACCCGTGCTTCCTTCGGTGTGATCGACGCAGTTCGACTCGTCAGTGGCGTCTCTGCAATCTACCTTCCCATCGCATTTCATTCTGCTCGACTTACAGACCACCTGATCGCAGAGAAACTCGTCGTCGTTGCACGAGTAGTCTTTGGTACTTGAAGACGGTTTCCAGAGCTCTTCGCGAATGATGGGATCCTCTGTTGAGCTAGCAGTTGACCATTCTCCAGATGCCTCTTCCGAGTTTGTACTTGGCTTATCGGTGTTATCTTCTTCACAGTCGTCTTTGAGTCTTGGCAAGTCCCATGGCCACGAGATACTTTTTGTATAGTTATTCTTGCACCTTTTCGTTGCCATTTCGAGTGTTGGGAGATCTGTGACTGCTGATGCTGAAGATGTTTCTACCATTTGGTCAGTAATATTTTCCTTGTGCTTTAGCATTGAGGGTTGTTCTTCAGGCTTGGTGAAGAAAGAGGAGGTTTGATTGGGAGTTGAGTACTCGATGGTGGAATAGTCGACGGTCGTGCTGGAATTATCCTCTATCTTCTTCCTGCGATCTTTCTTCCTCCTCTGATTCTTTCCCTCCTTCTGTTTCTTCTTGTCTTTGTTCTTATTTTTATCCCCCTTCTTATCCTTCTGTTTCTTGCCTCCCTTTTTCCCACGTTTACCAGGTTTCGTCTCATTTCTGCTCGTCAGCTGCTCCACCAAGTCGGGTGACACTGTTGTTCGCGTTACGTAGCTGGTGTCCCAAGTCCCACTTTCTTCCTTTAACGTTGGGTCAAGCGTTGTCCTTTTACTGCTCTTGTCTTTCTCTAATTTTTCTTCTTCTTCCAGTAAACCTGAATCCACGTTTCCGACGTCTTCCTCTCCGAACGATCCAAGGGACTCGTTCCTCTTGTTCTCTTCGTGGGCACTCTTCGAGTACTCGTCGCAGTGAGTCACATCGTCTGAGTCACATTTGCTGATATTTTTCTTCAAATTTTCATCCCACACCACTGAAGAATTGCTTGTGGATTTATTCATCGATCTATCCTTGCTTAAGAGATTTATCGTGTCGTTGGAATTCTTCCCATTGGATTCGAACAATGAATTCTCCTGTTTGACAGTCCATTTGGCGGTTGTCTTTAATGTGGGGACTGTCGTAGCTGAAGGCGTCACGCTTCCCTCTAAGTACTTATGATAGTAATATGCAATATCACCGCGTTTCTTCGCTTTGAAGCCGTAGATGTCTTCTCGGCTCATGCTGGCATCTTCTTCAGGATCCTCTTCAGCATGTTCTTCGGGAATTATTGGCCTGAAGCTACTGTCCGGGTATTCCTCGAAAGATCTTGTAACATTCGCCGTGTTCAATATAATTTTATCTTCCTTCTTTTCTGGATCATCATCTGTATAATCCTTGAGCTCCTCAGGTACGTTCATTGAGCTTTTTTCAAGGTTTCTCTCAGTAAACTGTGTACTCAAAGTTGCTTGAGACGTGATTTCTTCTCCTTTCTCTCCTGGATCCTCATCTATAAACTTATTGAACTCTTCAGGTGCGTTCGACGAGGTTCCTTTAATGTCTCTCTCAGTAAACTGTGTACTCAAAGTTGCTTCAGAAGTGGATTCTTCTTCTTTCTCTTCTGGATCCTCATCTGTATACTTAGTGGCCTCTTCAGGTACATTTGACGAGCTTCCTGTAATGTCTCGCTCAGTTACCTGTGTACTCAAAGTTGCCTCAGACGTGATTTCTTCTCCTTTCTCTTCTGAATCCTCGTCTGTATACTTAGTGGCCTCTTCAGGTACATTTGACGAGCTTCCTGTAATGTCTCGCTCAGTTACCTGTGTACTCAAAGTTGCCTCAGACGTGATTTCTTCTCCTTTCTCTTCTGAATTCTCGTCTGTATACCTAGTGAACTCTTCAGGTACGTTCATTGAGCTTCTTTCAAGGTTTCTCCCAGTGAACTGTGTACTCAAAGTTGCTTCAGACGTGGTTTCTTCTTCTAGTTTCATTGTTGTAATTTCTTCAGGCGTGGAAGTGCTTCTCAAGGTCTCTTCAAGAATGTATTTCCCGGAATAGTACCGCTCTTCTGCATTAGTTGGTACATCGTTATTAGAATGTCTGTCAATTATTATGTTCTGGTAGTTTGATAGATGTTTTGTTTGGGTGATCTCTGTAGCAACTGGCGGCACTGTCGAATTGGCATCAAGGAACAGCGAGACTGGTGTAGGAAGATTCTCCTTGCGTTTTAAGGTCAATGGATCGGCGCTAGAGTCGTTCTTCATGTTCTTTCGTCTGGATTTCCTTTCCCTGTTTTTCGTCCTCCTTCTTCCTTTTCGTTTCTTCTTTTGTTTTTCATTTTGAACTTTCGTTCCTTCTTTCTTCAAGTTGTCAGCCGATTTTGAAGAGCGTTCACTTGGACTGTTCGTGGGCATTGTCGATGTTGAAGTGTTTGTTTCTTCAGCTTCTTTAGGAAACAGTTTTTCGACTCCGGGAACGGATCGAGGACTTCTGATTGGTCTCCTCGAGAGTAACTCCTCTTTGATCCAATTTTTCGTGGTCCGTTCGCGGTTCATGTTCCTCCGTTGCAACATGAATTTCTCCCAAATTGCCCTGTCATTGTACACGTTCCGCCACGGTACTTTTTCTAGGATAACGATTGGTCGCGATGAACACACGGGCGAGAGAAAAAGAAAAAGGAGGAAGTGATTTGATTCACTTTGATACACCAGTTTTTAATATCTTTCCTACTGCTACTTTCTTTCTTCAAGATGCGTTTCAACGTTTGCAAGAATTACTTATATATTATTTGCTAAGAGTATTGCAAAAATAACACCGTGACGTAAATTATTTAATAAACGAACAGTTCGCATTCTACGCAGTCAATGTATTATAACACATTGTGTATTAATTATTGTTTATTTTGTGATAATATGGGTTGATTTACTAAGGTAAAATAATATCTTTCTTTGTTTTCTTTTCCTGTTCCTTCTTCTTAACCCTTTGCTCCTTTTTATCGGAACTCTTAAGAATTCTCCCTAGAAATTGCCCCAATGTTCAGGAATTCCCTATAAAATCTGATAATATCTTCTAAACCCCAGAGATTTTACTTAGAATCTAAGAAATTAATTAGAGAATTCAGAAATCCTCTCTAACACAAATTTTCCCCAGAATTCATAATCTGTTACCACAACTCAGGAAATTGTCTTCATCGTTTATAAATTCTCCCTACGACAGAACAGTACGTCCCCAGACCAAAAAATTTTCCCTTGCCTACAAATATTTCCCAGATCTCAAAAGTATTCTTTAAGAACCGAAAACCTTCCTCAATCGTCAAAAACTCTGTTTTCAGATATCAATAATTTTTCCTGAAACCGAATATTTCCCCTCGGAATCTTATATAGAAATTGAAGCTCAATAATGCCTCGAATCTCTCACGATTACACCATCTCCTTCGGCAGGAATTCGCTTGAACTTGGAAAAAAAGTCGACACGCGTGAGTGTTCGGTGTACGTGTCAAGTGTGAAATGCAAGAGTATGTGGCGTGAAATGTCATAATTACCGCAATCCCTCTCGTCAGAGCCGTCAGAGCACTCCTCCACCCCGTTGCACTGCAACTCGTAGCCGATGCACCAGCCGTCCGCGCAGCGAAACTCCGCTTCTCCGCAACCTGCTCCACACACCACACTCATGCACATTTAACCCTTCAACTCTAACGCTCCCGAGTCAACATCATTACACAAAAATTAACCGTATCCCCGGACAACCAACGAAAAAAGAAACAATTTTAAGGGATGATCTTCTTACATTCAAAACTGAGCATGATTATTCAAACCTGATTAATCAAAAGAATGATTCGTCTGTTAAACACTTTCGGCTCGATGAACAAAAACGAGAGACAAGAGAAATCGAAGCTTTCACCAGGAAACAATTTTTCAACGGGTCGCGGAAAATTTTAATTGGCGCTCCGAAGGGTTAAAAGTGCAAGAGAAGTCCAGGCTTCTCGTCGGCCATTGTCCCTAAACCACGCGGCATCGGCTTACAATTCAAGCGTCCCAATTGTGCTCCCTTCCTTCTGGCTCGGTGAAATCGCCCGTGAATCATTGTTACTTGTCAAGCTGTATGATCCGGGGAAACCCCTCGCGGATGATCAATGGAAGCGACGCGCGAAATCCTTGGCAACGGGCCCAAAACCAAACTTCTCGACGGTCACAAATCGCTTCGGAAAATTATCCGTCGAAAATGTTCACATTAAAAACGAAGAAGAAAAGAATTCGAAGCGATTCGGGGTTGGAACCCGCGCCGAACGGGACAGGTATGATACGACAGATTAGGAACGATCTGTGAAGGAACTTTCGAGAGAGCTGGAAGATCCAACGGAGCGTGTCACGGTGGAAAATTGTACGGGAAACGTAGCCTCGAAGGGCTGGTGTTCGGTCAGCGTGGAAAATCGCAAATCGAACACGCAGAAGCGTATCCGAGCGTATCGCGAGCATCCTCGAGGTTAGGATTGATCTTCTGTGTTCATTCAGTTGTAAGGGGATGAAATCAACATCGCCTATCAATATTTTTCGATCCCGTGATGTCTAAGATGGTGAAAGGAATCGTTGAAAATAATGGGAAAAATGTGAATACAGGTTAGATTCGTTGGGATGGAATGTCGTTCCATTGTGCTTTTCGTGGTGATTCAAGGCGTAGACGAGGGGGAAGGGGTGAAGTGTCTTTAGCTGGATGTTCGAGTCCTCCCCAAACAACTTCAAGAACACTGGATCAATCCCCGTCGACGGCTCGACGCTCGGAAGCAACTTGTTGCTCCGGTAATAAGGGGATTCAGACGTTCGTCGTCAACCCCTTTCCAAGAGTTGCGGATCCTTGGGGTTGCTTGTGACCGCCCGGGGCGCTCGAGCACCCGGCGGTGCGTTTTCACCTGTTTCCTGGGAGTGTGATCAGAATAATGGTCCTCTCGGTCTGGAGGAACATGGAATGGGCACACTTACCGCACTGTCTCTCGTCTTCGCCGTTCCGGCAGTCGGGCACATGGTCACACCTCTTGCTCATGCTTATGCAGGTGCCGTCTATGCATTGGTACTCCTCGTTGCTACAGGTGGTCACTAGAACAGTGGAGATCATTGTTAATTAATTTTTGTTTCTGTGCATTCGAATGTTTATCGAAATGCGATCGTCGTGAATGGTGTAGAAGTTGGCTGATTAGTTCGTAGAGTGTTGTACTTTGATTAGTAATATTATGTAAAGAAAATTTAGATAGTTTGTGGATTATTAAATCGTTGATTATTAGAAGAGATTGTATTTGGAGGAAGGGGAAAGAATTGAGGGAAAGTTGGAAGGAACAGAAGTTATGGGATTAACCCTCTTAGCGCCTTAGAATTATTTGGAATGATTAGACATTCTTGGACCAATGAACTTTTTCCGTATCGATGAATTTTTTCAGTATTAATCAGTTTCTCTGTGTTAGTGCTGTACTGAATAATGTTATTTAACTTGTCATTTGTCTTTACATAATAATGTCGAAAAATAGTTGTTACATTGTATCTTTTTATAAGCAATTGATGGTTCATGAATGTCATTGCTATTCTCATTAAAATTTTTACCAAAAAGTGCTTAATCGTTAATGTAATAAGTGAAAATCATTTGTTCTAGAAATATTCTTCTGTTTCAAATATTAAAAACAAAAAGTTTCTCAATAGAAAAGGCATAAATACTTTGAATTTTATTTATTATTTTCGGTATAATTATATTCGGCTACCAAGAGGGTTAATTAACTAAAGAGAAATATCTGCGGTGTACCAGAACAGAAACTTAAACGTAAGGAGAGAATAAAAGATAAAAAGAAATGAAACGATACCGTTGCAATTGTACTCGTCGGAACGATCAGGACAGTCGGAACGACCGTCGCATCTCGCGCTTATGCTGATGCAACTTCCGCTGGCGCACTCGAATTCGTCTGACCGGCAGAGCTCGGCTGTTCGCCGAAAGAAACAAAAAGAAAAAGTAATGTTAACGGCAAAGAAAAAAACGATGAGTTCCGAGCACGCGCAAGAAATAAACGGCGAGGCGCAACGATTTGAAAAATCCGCGCCGCGGAAAGGAGAGACGTGATTTAAACGGAACGGCCATTTTGTTCTTTTATTCCGAGGAAACGGCGAGATAGGGTTTGAATTTGTGGGATTAATGAAAAATTGTGTCGAGCGTTTAATTTACAGTACTTTTCCGAGGCGAAAAGGAAAAAGTTATTACTAAAATAGAGTTTAAATGAATTCCTTTAGTCGAATGGACGCCATTATTTCATTTCCAGCGAACAAAATGGCGACGAAAAGTAAATAAGAAAATATGATAGGATTTGAAGTTGTAAAAGATGGCGTGATAAGATTATTGAATTCTAGGATTTGAAGTTGTAAAAGATGGCCGGATAACATTATTGAATTCTAGGATTTGAAGTTGTAAAATATGGCGTGATAAAATTATTGAATTTTAATTTCGATTAAATTTTAAAGATTAGAATTATTAAAATTTTGAGTTTGCAAATGTATGGCTTGTACGGCTGGTGCAATGTTCATCTTGCTTCACATGTAAGAAATTACTGTTTATTCAATGAAAATTGTTTTGATTTTAGAAATTAGCAGGTGCACGTTGACATCTACGAATCGCAATATAAAATTGAGTTATTAATGATTAAATGAAGGCTGAGAGTAACTACAATGATAAAGCTTCGTCAAATCTAGGAACTGTAAAATTTAATGATACTAATCCTAAAGAGAACGACAATAAAAGTGATGTAATATCGTTAATTGCTTCATAAATTGCAAGGAGCTATCTCTATACATACTTTGCGTATGTCTTCTATTAAACATTAATACTACACACGACCCAAACATTACAAATGAATACTAGAAAAATAATAAGGGCCACCTAACAAAGTGATAACGCAATTCCAACGAATTTCAATACAACAAACTAACATCTACCAAAAATATTTCCAAAAGACACAAAGATCCCTAAACAATACAAAAAGAAATATATTCCATCAAAAATTTCATTGTTCAATACGATAACTAGAGCCACCGACAAAAATCAATATTCACATAAATATAAATCAACCAATACACGTTTCATCATTTACCAATAACACCATTCGAACTAAATGAACCATTATCAAATTTACATGCGATCATTTTTCCAATACATATAAATCAATCAACACGTATCTTACTATTCCCCAGCAATCAACCAATAAAAATTCCGTCACGTCCAAATGATTGGCCAATAAAAGTTTCATGTCCCAATAATTAACCAATACACGTTCTACCATTCTCTGTCAAAAGATGGCGGCCGCAGGGGATCCCTCTGGATTCAGTGGAAAGTGTCGCGAAAACGGTGGACAGTCGGCGAAATTGGTCTGTCGATGGAAACGAGGGTGCACGATAATTAGTCAGCCGAGCGATCGTAATGAAATCGGATTAATCGCGCGGAGTATCGCTGCGCCTCGCCCTCCACGCGGAAGAAAGGAACGGGCGGGAAGGAGATTCGCGCCGAGAGGAGCGGAAGGAAGGAACGAACGACTCCGAACTCTCGGGTCATCGTGCCGTGCAATTAATCGCTCGAGAAACAACCGTCCATTATCGGAGCCGAGCGTTATATTCTCGGACGGCCGATTACTCGGCCGAATGGCCACGCGACTGCCTCGCCAAGTCGAATCCTGCGATCCACCCGGCGTTTCCTGTCCGTGGGAATAACTTCGGTACTGCGATCGGTCTACATACAGGGTGCTCCTTAACCCTTTGCGCTCTGAATTTCTTTTGCATTGTTCTCGCATTGTTCTCGGTAACTCTGTATTATTACGATATTTTATTTGAAATGCATTTGAAAGAATAGGCGGTTTGTAGAAAGCAAACGATTCTTCTTACTAATAATATTGAAAATATAATAATGTAATCTATTTTAAAAATATCTTGGCAAAGAAGCATACCTGTGAATCATACTGATGTCGAGTCATCGACATAGGAGCGCAAAGGGTTAACGCTAGAACTACGTACCAATAAAAATAACGCTTCGAATTGCTTGTTTCGAAATTATTAATGTCTTGATAGCATTGAATATTTGAAATGACCTTGGAGATAGTCTCATTTGAATATTATAATGAATATCTGAAGGAACTGAAAATAATTTGTTGTCACAATTTTTATAGGGATTACAGTGTTAATCGTGTTAAATGCTTGGTAGTGCTAGTGTTAACTAGTTAACTGCGTTTGACGAGTATATACGTCGTCTTAATTCTTCTTGAGAACGAATACAGATGATTCTAGTTTGGTTAATTCATTTTGTTAAAACTGATTCGAGTTGAACAATGACAGCCAGGAGACAGACAGGAATCATTCATTCATTTGACTACGAATTTTGATACGTGGGAGATTTTGTTCAATTGAGATCAGTTTATAAAATATTTGTTATCTTTCAAGTAAGCTGTTAAGATAATTGTTTTAAGATAACCATCGACTTCCCAAACTGCAGATTCAAATGAATAAACAAGTAAATAGAGAAATATAAGAAACAAATTTAAGTAGATAAAATCAATTAAATTAAACAAACGTACAATTGTTCCAAATGAAAATTTAAGTCAACAGACGTATTAGTTTTCGAAATATTATTAACACGTTGAATGCCGCACGATTTCACAGAGCAAAATCTACAAAATGGCGAAAATATAATATTAAATCATCTGATTGAATTGCATTATTATTATGGCACGTTTATCTAGCTGAACATAGTATAACTAAATAAACTATAATAATTCGATTTACTCGGTGGTCACTCAGACCTGAACATGGCACCCTGTATGTAGTATTTTTCGAAGGGAGATCCTCGCTGGAAATTAGTTCCGGTACGAAGGGCTCATCGGTCATGATTTATCGGGCAGGGGTTAAGCAGGGGAGAACGCGGGATAATTCAGGATCCACGTGTCACGGGCGAAAGTCGTTTCCCGCCCACGCGAACCCGCTCGCAGCGACTTGTATCTATATTGTTCACGTTCTTTACGATCATTTCCATTCGAATTTCCCGCGTTTACGAAGGAAATACTGCTCAAACGTTGGCCAGACTGGCAGTCAGCTGATCGAACGATTCGCGCGAGAAATTCAAACGGAAAAGAAAGGAAACATAGCGAAACGCGATGAGATTCAGGAAATATTCGAAAGATCATGCGTGCTTCTCTGCCATTTCCATGCTGTTGTGCTTAAAACCATGGTATTTAGTGAGTTAGTCCCGTACTCATGTTCCCACAATTTTCCTCATCCATTCCGCCGATGCAATCGACGACACCGTCGCAGCGTTTCGACACTGGCACGCAAAATCCCGGGGTGCATTCGAATTGGTCTTCCGTGCAGGCTGTAAGAATCGTAACACTCGATCTGACAGGGATCCGGATCGAATTCGGAAAGAATCCGATGGGAAGGTCGTTAAGAAACGGACACATTAATCGCTGGTCGCACACTGACGACAATGACGGACACGTATTTCCCAAGTGAACAATGACACAATTTGATGAGAGAAAGAGTGACGAACAACAGACATACATTAAGAACAAGATGCACGGTCCTGACCTGTCAATTCAATACGACGCAGATATTAATCACGGGATACAAACGAATAATGCTGACAATTATCAATATATGATATGCTACGATCATCGAGATGCACAAGGGAAGAAATTCACGTGGGAAAACTTCGAGATTAGGATGAAATCGTCTAAGAAATCCAAGAAAAACCGGCCGGTCGTATTGGTACGGAACCGGATTGGAGTCTGTATCGATGTTTCGTACATGGAGGGGTATCTGGCACCTGTGGTCAGCCCCGCGAAGAAGTTTCCTGAGCTGTTGCTTCCTTTTCGCGGAAGCGGATCTCCAGGAAACGTTGTGCAGATTTATGAGAGGAACCATCCACTTCCGGTTGGAGAATGGCTTGGTATTGACGACGGTCGACCGGATATCGGAGAGAATTCCGGCTGGCGCCGGGGAAAAAGATGAGAAGGAGTAACAGGCTGGAGGAAGGACGGGCGAGGACGTTGAAAAGAAAAGCAGTCGCAAGGAATTAATTAACGGAGGAGCACGTGAGCCCCGGAGGTCGGCCATTAATTAACACGCACCTAAGAAAATTTCAGAGAAGTGATTATAAATGAACAAAGAGTTACGCGGAGGCAACACGCGGCTCTAATTTACGGTGGCAATTAGCTAACGATCGAGGATGGACGACTCTCCGAACCGAGTGCACTCGAAAGAATAAGCTACGCGGCGGGAGCTTAGTAGTGTTTTCGTGCCAGGAATTTCCGCGACTTCCTTCCAGTGGCCGTGCAAGAAAATACGTAAGAAAGTCACCGAAACCAACCAATAAGCAATAAACACAAACCCAAGAGGCTGAGACGGTTCCCTTACAGTGGTCTTCTGGGACACACTGTATGCATATGGATCACGAGACAGTCATTTAAGAACACACCGCACGTACGGAAGAAAAGTGAACTGTTCATTCGGAAAGAAATTGTTTTCTTCAGAGAGAAATTAGTTATATTCCAAGTTACCGTCGGACACACGGTATACACGCAACGCAATTGCTGGAACGCGTTCATTAATTAAACACCCGTTCGCTTTTGGCTGACCTTGTATACGCGAATATCAATCCAATGGAATGAGCTAAATGGTTTCTCCGGTTAATGGTTGCCCTACTTTCAGGACACACAGTATACAACCATTGAGCCGGGCTAATGGAACCGCGATGGTTGTTTAAGAGACGACGATGTGGAAAAGGCAGTTTCACCTGTTTCCCGATGAACTCGGATCGACGTTTGCATTTGATCGCGTGCGACAAATTTTCGCGTGTGAAGTAGAAAACGTTCAGACGATTAAAAAACGAAAGAAAAAAACGGATAGCATGTAGAGAAGGGGGAGAAATACATGTAGAAAGTGCTTTGTATCGCATAACCGATATACCGTTTAATGGAAATGCGGAGACACAGTTTCGTAATTACGGCGTGTGTATAACACGTTTCGCGTGCCGACAATACGGCGTGCCCCTATTGAAGGAAACACATGATGCGACAATTGAACTCGGCGCTTTTATACGCGCGAACCGCTTTGTCCATTCTAATTGCTCGCCATTATATGCAAATTGCGCGTCGCGGAAGGAAATATCCGGCTCGATTCGCACGCGTACTTTTCGGACACCCGGTACGTAGCGTTTGGCGCGTGTTTCGGTTTAAACAAATTTTCCTCGGAAAGGAAGCGACGTAGGGCGAAAATGTATTAGAGATTTTTTATCTGGAGTGGAACAACGAATCTATTGACCTATCGCTGGCCAAAATCGATTGCGATTTCGAGGAGTTATCGTGGTTTAAAGTGACCGAACGAGTGCCGGTTACAGGATGGAGGCGATCGAATCGCGGAAAACGTGCGTGCGAATTATCGGCGTAATAAAATCAAGGTTAACCGCGGCCAAGAAATAGGTCGTCGTCAATGCTGCCGAACAATGGCGCTCCATTCTTCGCGATAGCGTATTGAAATCAACCGATTGGCACGGTCGACGCGTTTCTGCCTCAAGAACGCCGCTCGTCTCCGTTCCCTTCCATTCATCGATTCATCGAAATATCGAGCAGGGGACGTCTCAAGAATAATATGAACGGGAAACAATCGATTCGACAGGGGAATTCGCAAATAAATTTCACCACTTTATGCACGGGAAATTTTATAAACTCGTAGCTGAGATATGGGAGTGTCCTTATTTTCTCGATATATTCAGATACACTCAGAATATCTTTTGACAGAACTTTCTTTTCAAATGTATAATTCTTCTACTAACGAAATAACTTTGGACAGAGGATTAAAATATACAAGGTGATATAATAAACAAAGTGGAAACATATCGTCTATTATTAATTATATGAGAAATGTTTCGAACACCAGCATATGAATTTATTACTTTGCGATTAATTTGTACTACACAAATTTTGAATTTATACTATATCGTGGTATAATACATAGTATTATATTATATTAATATTAATGTAATATATTAAATATATAGTACATTAATACAAATATTATATTGACCAAATAAAATACATATATATTATACAATATATTAATATATTAATACAAATATTACATTTACGAAACAAAATATAATATTTTAATACAATTATCTTATTTACCAAATAAGATATAACATAATAAATATTCAATTTATACCACACAGCACATATTTCAATCTACGTCGCACGAACGTTTCATTTTCAATTCACATAAACCCCGCAATACGACTCCAACTTAAAAGTCTGATTACAACACCCATTAATCGTTCGCAAAGCAAAATCACGTTCACGTGTGATTGCGATCTATAATTGCTTGCTGTAACGAAGTGAAATATACGTGACAACGGTCATCGAGTCACTAAGAAGAAAAGTTATTTACTTTAAATACGCGAAAGAATATTTTATTTCGCATTGTTGATCGAGCATCTATGAAAAATTCAAGTCGAAACGTGTTCATCCGTGATTCTTTCACCGCGGGTCACGTGCCTCCGCGTCGGAACGGGATTAAAAGTCGAAATTAATTCGATCCCGACACGCGTGAGTCCGCGCCGCGTAATCTGGTTACCGTTTAACGCGATTCCGCGTGACGTGACCCTTTTTCCGCTCGATCGGCGAATATAAATCGCGCGGATCGCGACCTCGAAATTGGCGAACGCGACGCGGAACGGGAATCTCGAAGGAATTTCCACGGTTTTCCCCGTTACGGGTTCAAGGCCTGCCCAACCCATTCCACGATCCAGCAGCGATCGATTCGATCTTGATCTTTACGTTTAACATTGAAACTACCATTAGATTTCTTAATTTTGCAATTATTAACCCTTCGATTTATTTTCAACGTTGTTGAGTGAAAACTTGTATTTATTTTTAGGGAAATGAATGAAAGTAATTTATAGCGGTACAATTCAACGTTTGATATTTATTTTATTAATTATTATAATAAGATTGAATTTTTATAATCTTTTAAAATGAGATACTTTTAAAAACTTTAATAAATTTGTATCATCTCCAACATGACATACGAGTGCAAAGGGTTAATATTAATATTCAATCCAATTTATTCAATATTAACTCTTTGCACATGATTTATTTTCAATGTTTTTGCGTGCAAACTTGTATTCATATCTTGGGAAATGAATGAAAGTAATTTACAGCGGTAGAATTCAACGTTTCATATTTATTTTATTTATTATTATAATAAAGTTGAATTTTTATAATCTTTTGAAGTGTGATACTTTTAAAAACAATTTCCGATGTTTTATAATAAATATCATCTCCAGCATGACATACTAGTGTAAAAGGTTTGTAAATTAATAAGAATACAGAAATGAATCGTTTCGAATACTCAGTAATAAATTATCTCAATCATTTAAAGAAAAAAAGCAACTTTAAAGATTTTTCATTTTCTTCACTTCGAGGCAAACAATTGAAAAAAATTTCTTTTCTACATTCCCTACTATTTCTACTTAAAAATGCACACAAGTTTACACTCAACAACACTGAAAATAAATCGAGTGCAAAGGGTTAAGTACGAAGGTACTTCTATTAAAATTTCAAGTGACTTATATTTTACAATCCACATTGGTAAGTCAGTTTATTCAATCATTCTTCCGGAAAGCACTGCTGCGTTCCCAATAATTGTAAAAAAATATTTTCGAAATATTTGGAGGTTAAGTTTTAACATTGCAGGAGAATTAATATTATTATTTTTCAATTAGATAGAGGACGCGGCGCGCGCCAATCACGTGACCCATAATTTGACTGCGGAAGTTCATACGAATTCGGAGTCCACGTGAACACAGATACAAATAGAAGCTAATGTTCGATGATTTATTCCGGTTGCATTAAGTTTTGAAAAATCGACGAACTTTAAGTGAAAGTTCGTGAAAGACCTAACCACCACTTCTTTATCAAATGTTACATAAAAACAAGCAAAATTTTCCTTATAACAAATTGCGTCCAAAAGTACAAAACAAAAATACAATGAAATTTAAAAACAATGGAACACAATAAAATAAAATAGAATTAAAAACAATGGTAACGCGTTACATAAAATTAAAAACTGTTGGAACACAACAGAACAAAATCAAATTAAAACTGCAGCGCAATCAAATTAAGCTAAAAACAATACGAACTAAGTTAGATACATTTTTTATTGAAAATATTTGAAAGTTCAAACTGCTTCAAATGATACACAAAATGATTCGAAACTTCTTGTAAAATGTCCAATTAGAAGTAGTTCTCCTAACTAATACCTCCTTTCAAAAATTCTAATAAAAAGAAAATAAACTATCATTCCCAAAATATCTACGACCACTTCTCTCCTTTGCATCCTACGTACTCGTGTGCACGATAAATCGAAAAGACCCACTGTCCCACACTTTTAACACGCGCGGTAACCGAAGATTCCATGAAACGCCGGTTCCAGCGTCAAAAACGACACTCCCGAAAATGTGTATTCATTCTCGACGAGAAATACCAGGACGCAGTAATAAAAATCCAAGCGGGCGAAGGGCAACGTTAAATTTTTATTTCATAAGCATACGTGTGGAAAAAAGAGGATCGAGGGAAAAAACAGTTTTCCGGATTGAAGAAAAATCGGAGCGACGCGTGTCCAAGCGTAGAACGGCCGGCGCGGCCGGCTTACTGGTCGAATTGGATTAAACCGGTGAAAACAGGTGAAATTCCTGGGACGAGGCCGCGCGAAAGGGCCGTCCAGACCCGCTGGAGATTAACGTCGGATTAAAATTGCAGCCGGTTATTAGGGCGGCGTAATAAACGCAGCAAATCTCGTTGGTCGACCGGCGGTGGGGGTGGTCGGGGGTGACCGGCCCTAAATTCGGCGTGGAGGGTCGCTCGTCCTCGTCGCGCCGATATTAATACCACTAATGAAGTTCGTTGACGAATTAAAAAAAAAGAGTGTAAAAATAAAACACCCACCCCCTAAATTCTCCCCTCGGGGGATGAACGAGAATGAAAATTGCTTTCCTCGGTTATCGAGACTTTGTTGCCCCCTATATATTGGTTCTTTTGGGATTGTCGTGTTGCAGGTTTTTTAGGGGGCGGACTGGGGGTTGAAGTATTTTTTACGTTGGAATTTGGGTAAGTGGAAGGGTTCTAGTTTGTTTTACTTGGGGGAGTATTGGTGAAATGTGATTGATTTTTGTGGGGTGGTTGATTTAAAGAAGGTGTAAAAATAGAAAATCCACCTCCTAGATTTTTTCCCCTTAGAGACTTTGTTGCACTAATATATACTGGTTCTTTTGAGATTGTTGTTTTGTAGGTTCTTTTTCGGGGATGGAATGGAGGTTGAAATTTTTTTGACATTAGAATTTTGATGGGATTGATGGAAAGTTTTTAGTTCTCTTGGTTTGTGTCGATTTGTTTAGAGAGTTTGGTTGGTGAAGTAATTTGTTTTTGTGGCAGTCAAATGGGGATGAAATATGGAAATATGATTACCAATATTGGAATTCTTTTTTATGTTAGCTCTTTTAGTTCACAATTAGTGTGAAGGTAAAAATATATTTCTGCGGAGGTGAGAAGGAAATGTGTTAATTTTTTTAAGGGTTGAAATAGTTTCGACACTAAAACTCTCTTATCACAACTGCTAAAATAACCATCACAATAACTATGAAATTATTTCTTTAGAATGTTACTGCCAAAAATCAATTAATATTTATATCCACAAAACACCACAATTTTCCTACAGAGATATAAATACATAGAATCACATAACATTTACATAATAACAAACCTACATACAAATCACTCAGACCGAAATAAACGAAAAGTATCCAAACCTCTTCAACCCTTTCAAATAAAATATAACTTTAAACAAGAATCATCCTTAATTTAAATAATAACAACAATTCCCTCCACGATCAATCCATTACAAAACCCCACATCCGCTCTTAAATCTCTCCAAAAGCATTTTTCACCCCCGCAATGGGGGTGAACAGGTATCACTCCGCATTCTATTTAATTTGAATTTCGCGACTGAAAATTGATCATCCCCGATGCTGGTGGTTATTCGCGACAATAAAAGAGCCACGAGTGTTGCCGTGAAAGGCTGGATGGAAATGATAGGGGTTGAAGGGACAAGGAGTAGAGGGTGGGAGGGGCTGACAAGTGCAATGGCCTGAAAACGCGAGGCCAACCCCTTCTGGTGGTCCGCACGCTATTGTTATTGTCACAGCTATTAGAACTATTGAGCGCATCGTAACATCATTGCGACCAGTCCTGATAGCCCTGATAAAACACTTCCACCCCCACCCCCAACACGCGTGTCTCGCCGCTCTTCGAATTCTTTTGTGCCTTTGGTTCTCGTCTAACCCTTCAATCGGAGGGGGAAAAACATGACTGCAATCGTATTCCTTCGATTGACTGGTGGATCGAACACAAAATTATACAGGGCGACTCAAAAAAACAAACGAGTGTAGATTGTAGTGGTTTGCAAGTAATAATTGCGAATGAAAAAAATTGATTACGGAATGGAAGGGTCGTTTGAGGGTGGTTCGTCGTTTTCAGGACAATCGAATTCGCGGAATCGATTGTCGCGATTGTTCTTGGCTGTCTCGTGCCCGTTTATCGCATACAATTTCCGTAATGGATCGCTTCCGATGAGAAGCTTGAAACAGGGAAATTTTGTTTTGTTGTTCTTTCCTCCGTTGTCAGCTTGTGTTTTCTTGTTTTAATTTTGGGACTCGTTTGGGAGATTCAGTTTCGAGAGGGTAAGGCTGTGAACCGTCCCTTGTTTGCTTAAGTAATAAGTAATTTGGGTGGCCTTGTGATCTGCTTGTGAAGTAATTGAAAAATTAATATTACTGTTTCGTATTTGAATTTTCTAATGGGTATTTATATCAAATAATTGTTTATTAAGTTATTGATAAGATTTGTATTTTATTGTGTTTCACTTCTATTGCATAGGTAGGCTTATACAGAATGTTTTTGAATTAATGGTAGACTTGACAAGAAACACATGAATTCATTTGAATCCGTTTGAATAAACAGAAAATTTAGAGTGACCTTTTATTACATGAAACTCCGATTACAGCTGAATCGATAATGTATTTGATTTAATTGTAATTTAACACTCTACTGCATTCATTTATTTATGACACTCGAAAAGTACTAAAACTGTGCTTGTATATGGTGCAACCATGATATTGTAGATAAATGTAAATCAGTAAAATACGTATCGATTGCAATAATATTTCAATAAATTGGAATTGGAATTAATGGTAAAAATGGAGAATTTTGCGAAATGGCGGGAAAACGTTTAAAGTTAAAATGCGTTTGCAATAGATTAAATATAACTTCCATAAGTATGAAAACAATTGAAGAAAATAAGTTAAAAATATGGAATAATATAACATTATAATTAATATATGTAAATATATGAGCTATTTTCACAGTCTACGTTTCAAATAATTGACTTCGAATTTAAAGTACAAGTTTCATTGAATAATTAAACTTTTGGTATTGAGGAATTAAAATCGATTGATTTGATAATTTGTTATTTATCAAATCGGAAATTTCTTTCTACATGTTTCTCCAAGAAAGTGTAATTAAAAACATGAAAGACATTAGAGAACGTCAAAGTTGAACGAAAATTTAATTATAAAATGGTCACATTAATTTTTCAATTAGAGCAGAAGCAAAAGTTTGCGCCACGCAAATTATTCATAGTTACTGAAACCGGGGCATTGGCTGTGTTGGATTTAAATTTAATTCAGTTTCATTCATAATACATTAGATCGTTCAATTGACATCAATTTGAAAATAAATTTCGGACGATAAACAAACTATTAAACGTAGAATAAGAAAAATAATTAAGAACACATGTTTGCTCAACAAAAACGACAAAGACACGGTAAAATATTAATTTAACAATCATTTGGACAGTGCACAAAGGTTAAATTCGATTTGTTCAAACTCAGTATTTGTTTAAATACATCGCTAGAGCCAGAACGGGGAATTAACCCATTGCCATACGATTTCTTCCGCAACTGCACTTGTCAGAATGATTTTATCGTTAATAATTTATTCGAAGAGGAAAGAATATTTTGATACTATCAGTCATACGATTATTTTAATGTTGCATATTAACCCTTACTGAAATAATAATTGTATAATTTGAATAATAATTAGTAAAAGATAATTGATAGCAAGAAAATATTTAACTTTAACTAGAAATAATTAAATACTACTGATATTTATTAAGTACTGTTTCAAATGTTTGTAATGACTCTGATATTAAAATGCAAGAGGTTAATAAAAGGAAAAACGAGTTTACATTTATAATGCAAACAAGATTTACAATACACAATGACTCACAAGTTTTATTACGAGGAAGTGTAACATTTATTTCACCTATATAACTATATGTAACAATTCAAACTTTAAATTAACTTAAAATTAAGAAAAATATATTATGAATGATTACAAAGGTAGAAGATAATGAAGAGATAATTGTTTCATGGAGAACGTCATATATTCGTTAAATATTAGTTAAATAATTGTTACTTAAATGAACAAATATGTGAGCCATTGTATAGTTTCCCGTCAAACTTAGTTAGAAATCAAGTGCCAATCTTGAAAGCCACGTTTCAAATTACAGGGTAATAGGTCAACAATTCACAAATATATTTACACACAGGAACATAACAGAGAAGCAAAATTATATACAAAAGCAAAGTGATTCGTGTCTACCCTTCATTCGGGAGGGATTGATTATGCAAATCCCTACGAGATTTGATGGCATTTTTCCGGTAAGACCGGTGTTTCGAAAAACGGCCCACGGAATGCACATGCTCAAGTGACATTGATTCAACGACGATAAAGAAACAAGTAAAATGTTAAAATATGTACTTTCACTATTTAGTAAGCGACAAAATAACGACAAGCAAAAGAGGGAAGCGGTTTTGTTGGTGTACTCACGGCAATTTCGTTCGTCGGAATTATCATGGCAGTCCTGGACGCCATTGCAGCGCGCCTCTATGTCGATGCACTGACCGTTTCTGCAAGAGAACTGCGTTACACTGCAGGCTGCAAAAGAAAGATAATATTTTTGTTATATTAATATTTCTAGTATAACGTTACTTATATTAATATTTATTATATTATTTACTATAATATTAACATGATATAATAAAAATATAATATGTTTTATTATAATATTATATTAATCATTATTGTTATATTATATTAATAATATAATAAATATGATATTTATTCTTATTACTCATATTTCTAGTATAATATTAATTATATCAATGTTGCATTTTTTGTATAATTCACTGAGTGGTATTTTTGAAGTACATTTCTTTAATAACATCTGTTATTGAAAATTATTCTAAAAGTAATTCCATTGTGTATTACTTCTATAATAATCTAATGTAATTTTTTAATAGAATTATCTAAATATAATTATTAAATAATTTATTATAATTACAGTCTTTGTTATCATATACAATATATTTTTATAACATGTTTGCCTTAATTTCAGTATAAATAAATAATTCCAATTCTAACAAAAATAAATGACACACCCGTTAGCAATGAAATCTATGATCATTGTAAACAGGTTCAGCAAGTAGAAAAGTACGTTAGTTAGAAGAATTTCTCAATTACGTTCCTTCGGAAATGTATACCTTAAGATGAGAAATTGTTGTAGATAATTATACAAATTTCTGGATGGATGTTATCCAATTACCGTGCTATAATTTTTAACTTTATAAATAAACAAACAATAATACTGAATGCAACCGATTTTATTTATATTTTCACACGGGAAGATAATTTCGAATGTATTCACGTGGAATCAGAAGCGATGATCGCTGCTGAAAGAGAATTCCGTTCGTTGGTTTACAAAGTCCTCGGTCTTCTCATGTGTCAAACATGGTGCAGACGATATAGGATGGATCGAATAATGTCAGACGTTTAATATAATCTCGCAGGATCACCTGTGAAACGCGCGATCGACTTTCAAAGACGCGTGGGAGCGCGCGGAGATTTTTCAAATCGTCCAGGGAATTTCTTATCTGTGTTTTCCGTGAATAACAGGACTCTTGAGGATTAGCCATGGTTTATTACGTAGGTTACTGCAAAAGTGTCGAGAAAGTATGAGGAAAATCACAAATATGTTCAAACCAACGGTTTTATTATTTTTCAAAATGTTTTCCTTCGATACCAATGCATTCTCTGTTGTGTTAGAACATAAACAACTAATGGGAGCACTAGAAATGGCGAATTCCCAAAACATTCGCAGTTGTTTTTTAATATTGTACCAGACTCGTGGTAACGATTTCGAATAAAAGCAACAAATACAAATATTATCTTTCTGTTATGAATTATTATGTTTTAGAGCGAACGTAGACATAGAATATGCCTAAAATTCTTGTCTTACTTTCACTAAATTACCAACAACAAACTAGTTAAATAAACTAGTTCAGAAAGGAATCATAGGGTAAGGGGTGAAATCAATCAAATCACTTATCAGTGACTGTTCTCCAAAATGAAATTTTGCTCGAATAATAAACACCATTATTCAGCTATACAGCAAACATCGTCATAGAACATGCTCAGGATTCTTCTCTTACTTTCACTAAATTACTAACAACAAACTAGTTAAATAAACCACGGTTCAGAAAGGAATGATAGGGTAAGGGGTGAAATCAATCAAATCGCTTATCAGTGATTGTTCACCAAAATGAAATTTTGCTGGAATAATAGGCAACATTGTTCAAAGCGATACAATTGCTTTCCAGAGTTCGCCGACTGTTTCCCTGGCATAACGATTTATTATCGATTCTGCCGACACTCGAGACACTTTGAAAAAAAAAAATGTTCCGCGTGCGTTGCGTTCCGCATAAACATCGGCCAGAGAGCACGGGCTCAGTTTCAACAGACTCCGGTTCGTTTCCACTCGACCGATACGAATAATGTCGGCAGCGCGGTGTTGTTTCAGCAATTGGATCGGCGCTGGGCCGAGCCGAGCGCGGCTCGCAGTTCGTTTTCACAATTATGTCATGTTCATTCGAGACAACCCGTTTGCTGCTGCTTTGGATTACGTTACAATGACGCGTTAAGCGGAGGTGTCGAGTTCTGGACCGATCGGAATTGTTCGTTCCACCGCGCGGAGCTCGTCCTCCTCTGACCTCGACGATACCTAAAATACCATCGGGATTATAACGGGCAACAGATTTCGATCGATGGATCGTTGATTCGTGGTTTGGACAGTGTCGGAAAAAAGATTGCGGATTTTTCTATTATTCTTTCGAAACTTCCAATTCGCTTTGTTCATTCTTCCCTGTAAATTTTTGTTGAATTTTATTTATCGTTATTTTTTAATAATATTGCCTGGGAATTTCCTGTTATTTCATCTGTTATTATTCCGAAATTTTCGATTCATTTTTTCTATTGTTCTTTACAAGTTTCGAATTTTGATTTCTATTCTTTTTATTTTCATTGACGTTTATTTGCTGTTGTTGCTCCTTGATAATTTGCTTCTTTGTGCAGAGCATGAATTATATTTTGGGTAGATTTTATTTTAAAGTCGCAACCTTCCTGAATTTGTTACACGAAGATTTCTGGTATTTAATTGTATAGTACGGTTATTTATCACCCACTGACTGATTTATTTTGCGTTGCAAACACTCCATTCTGTTGTGAACAGTAAAGTGCGATAAATAAACTTTGTTGGAGTTATTCTTTCGCAGATGTGTTTATTCTTTTTAGCATCCTTAACGATCGAATAAAATTTCAGTAATTGTTAATAATTTTATATGGTTCCGCTATTTTGCCATTATAAATAATACATAATACATGAAGAAGAATTTAAAATCTCACTCAACATTTTAATTACCTAAGTAAAAAATTCTCCACTTTATATATTCTTTTATGCCTACATTAAAGGGTGGTTTCATCCTCCACATTCAGGACACAATTAACCCTTTCTTCTTCAGATTCTCTGAAATATACAAGACTTTCAGCAGATGAAACTAAATTATACATCGATTGCTCAAATAATAGAAAAAAAGGAAACAGCGTACTGATCTATTACTGTTGGAGTAATGAAATCATTCATTTGCTGCTCACTCTTCCAAATATTAAAATCTGATCTCGAAATTTCGTCTGCGAAGGGCCAATAAAAGAAAAACGTGTTTCTCACATGTTCTCATTTCTAGTAGACTTTCACACACTCCCGTACGTGGCTCGCATCGCAAGGTAATTCGGTTTCACTTGGAGGGGTGGTTCGTTCGGGGGGCGAAAACCGAACCCCTTGTATCCTAATTCCCTGGCGGCCACCGAAGACACACTCGAAATATTTTACGAAGTAGATGACGCTACCAGTGACGCTCGGCCAGCAGAGGACGAGGCGAGAGACCCGTCCGCTTGCCACCCTTCTGTGGGGTGGTAGGGCCGAGGGTTAAGCTTGGATTCCGGTTGCGGTGTGGAGTGACTTTGATGATCAACGACCTAGTGGGGCGACCGGGTATCAGTCTCCGGTGTCAAAGCACACTTGATTCCCCGTTTATTCCCACCCTCGTGTCGTGTATTATTAACCCCCTCCGCAGGGGTGAGTTAGCAGCAACCGCGGAACTACAATCACACAACACCCTAATTCCCTTCCAATTATTCTTTTAAACGTTTACACTTGTCCACTCTGTAATACTAATTTTCTTCTGACCACAAAACTCACCAGCAAGGGGTTGAACAACCCTTTTAGAAATTCAAGTTTCACACTGTTCCCATCTGGCCGCTCGAAATTCTGGATAATCGAGTCGCATCGAAACTTGGCATTAACATTTTTATTGAGAAATGGGGGTGGGAGTGAGAACACAGCCGAGGCTCTCGCGAGTGAATTATTGAGAGTTGACGCGGCGCACGCGGGCCCAGGCGGATGGAAAAGTTTCCCCGGGTTCGTTCCTTCTTTTTTACGGCGTCAAGATGCACCGAGAAAGCCCACGGACTTTACGACGCGCGCCTTTTTACACTCGCGATTCTCTTATCAGCCCCCGCCCCCCTCCGGCCCTCACGGCCTGCACTTCTTGCCTGCCTCGCTCTCGATCATAACTATTTAAAGCGAAGACAAGTTCCGGAGAAATTGCTGTTTCCTCGTGTAACCACTTTGACGCGAAAGTTTGCCGCGTGGTTGCCATTTTCTGCCCTTGAATACCGCACCCCTTTACACACCGTTTTAACACCCTAATGCCTTCTTCCCGTTTTTGCTCGTCTTCTTGGGAAGCGCCCTTTATCCACTTTTCAGGTCCTGTGTCATTCGGTGAAAATTTCGTTGGTTCCGTGGCTCCGTCGAGAAGCAATTTTTCCCTTCCTCTCTCCCCTTTATACTTTTCCTTTTTCGCCGGGGTTCACGCTTTTTCGGGTAACGTAACGAGGACATTAGTATCGCGAGCAACAGCCCGTGCGAAGCTACCGCGGCAGCGGCTTGCATATCTTTTTCGACCGAGGAGAGTGGCCAGGGTCTTCGAGGCATCAGACGGGATTAATTTGTCTCGCAAGTATCGCCGGAGGTTTTCCCAGTAGGAAAATTTACAAAGAATTTCCCTGTCCTTGGAGGACCACTTCACAGAATTATTCCGTTGCCATTGGTGGTACTATTGGTTGTTACTATGAACGAGGTTTTTAAATTTCTTTCGCTGACACGTTGACGGAAGATCAATATGCCACGACCTGAGAATACAATATTCTTGTATCATTCCTCCTGTCCAGTTCAATTTTTCATAGCTGCTCCTTTCTATATTTTATGAAGACTATTTTCAGTTTGTATAGACTTGTTAACTTAATTTTCCAGTAACGTTTACGTCAGAGTGTTCTCCAGAAATATCTTGGAAGATGGAATTGTAAAAAAGGTGTTTGTTAATTTCTGTAGGGATTCACATATATGATTACACTTGTTTAATTTTCGGTAATTTTTAGGTCACAAAATTATTCTCGGAAAGATTTTGAGGTTGGCTGCGAGAAGAAAGTCAGAGAGATGGAAGGGGAAATACAACCTCGCGACGGGACTAAATTTCCTCCGTTGG